GAATGTCGGAAATGCAGAGAATGTAGCAAATGTCAAATGCAGAGAATGTAGTGAATGTAGCAAATGCAGAGAATGTAGCAAATGCAGAGAATGTATCGTATGCACAGAATGCAGCAAATTAAGTGGATGCAGACAGTGAAGTGAATGCAGTGAATGAAGTGAATGCAGTGAATGTAGTGTATGCAGAGATTACAGGGAATTAAGTGAATGTAGAGAATTAAGTGAATGCAGCAAATGAACGGAATGCAGAGAATGAAGTGAATGCAGCGAATGTAGTGTATGCAGAGAATGAAGTGGATGCAGAGAATGAAGTGAATGTAGTGTATGCAGAGAATGCAGCAAATGCAGTGGATGCAGAGAATGAAGTGGATGCAGAGAATGAAGCGAATGCAGAGAATGCAGCACATTAAGTGAATGCAGAGAATGCAGCAAATTAAGTGAATGCAGAGAATGAAGAGAATGCAGTGAATGCAGCGAATGAAGTGAATTCAGAGAATCCAGCGAATGAAGTGAATGCAGCGAATGAAGTGAATGCAGCGAATGAAGCGAATGAAGCGAATGAAGCGAATGCAGCGAATGAAGCGAATGCAGCAAATGAAGTGAATGCAGCAAATGAAGTGAATGCAGCGAATTCAGAGAATGCAGTGAATGAAGTGAATGCAGCGAATGAAGTGAATGCAGCAAATTCAGAGAATGCAGCGAATGAAGTGAATGCAGCAAATTCAGAGAATGCAGTGAATGAAGTGAATGCAGTGAATGCAGCGAATGAAGTGAACGCAGCGAATGAAGTGAACGCAGCGAATGAAGCGAATGCAGAGAATGAAGCGAATGCAGAGAATGAAGCGAATGCAGAGAATGCATTGAGATATACACCCTTTATTAGCACTGTAACCCGCAGAACGCGCCTCCTGTAATCGATGTTCGGCGTTGTTGCCTAAACGATGATTATGAGATTAGCACATGTTGGGCCGATGAATAATTAATTCACGACGATCGGCGCTAACGAGGCTTCATTTTGAGTTACAATGCGGAATCTTTATGGCGGCGCTTTCATTTTTTATTTTCTTTGGCTAATGAGTAATCATGAGGAGTCCATGAGATGTTGTTCCATGAAGTGTTGCCGGCAGTGAGCGCTGATTACACATGAATTATAAATGATCCATAAAATATCGCCACCAGTAATGAATATTAACAGGAAGATGCCATCGATTTGTCTGAGACCCGCCCGACGCTCAGCGCTGATTTACAGAGGGATGAGAGGGATGGGAGGGATGGGAGGGATGAGAGGGATGAGAGGGATGTGAGGGATGGGAGGGGAGGGATGGGAGGGATGTGAGGGATGGGAGGGATGGGAGGGATGAGAGGGAAGAGAGGGATGGGAGGGAAGAGAGGGGAGGGATGAGAGGGAAGAGAGGGATGGGAGGGATGAGAGGGAAGAGAGGGATGGGAGGGAAGAGAGGGATGAGAGGGGAGGGATGAGAGGGATGGGAGGGAAGAGAGGGATGAGAGGGGAGGGATGAGAGGGATGGGAGGGATGAGAGGGGAGGGATGAGAGGGATGGGAGGGAAGAGAGGGAAGAGAGGGATGGGAGGGATGAGAGGGATGAGAGGGATGGGAGGGAAGAGAGGGATGAGAGGGATGGGAGGGATGAGAGGGATGAGAGGGATGAGAGGGGGAAGAGAGGGATGAGAGGGGATGAGAGGGATGAGAGGGAAGAGAGGGATGGGAGGGATGAGAGGGAAGAGAGGGATGAGAGGGGAGGGATGAGAGGGATGGGAGGGAAGAGAGGGATGAGAGGGGAGGGAAGAGAGGGATGAGAGGGAAGAGAGGGATGGGAGGGATGGGAGGGAAGAGAGGGATGAGAGGGGAGGGATGGGAGGGATGTTTTGTATTTTTATCGTTGTTGCGTAGAGCAGACGGCTGACGTTCCATGAACTTTACTTTGTTAATGAGATGACAATGCTGGCAGAGAATGGCTCCGCCCCCACGGACAGGTACAGCCCACGGACTACCTGGCATTTACTGGTGCTGGTTCCGTTTCGGATCAATTAGTTCGGTTGCTCATTTTGTTTCATTTCATTTCAGTTTAGTTTTGCTTGGCGTACAGCCAGATCGGTTTTCCGAAGAACTCTGTGCTGTGATTGGACGCAGCTGATCAGCTGATTTCAGCCAAAATCATCGTTTGGAACCTGCTGATAAACTCATGCTGTGTCCAATCACAGCACAGATCAGCAGGGGGCACACATGAGCAGGGGCCAGCAGGGGGTCCCAGGCAGATGGGTGAATCAGATGTGGGCGGTGAGGGTGATCGGCATGGGGGGGGTAATTACTGGAACCAATCCCCTGTATGGCTCTCTCTACAGCAGCTGAAACCGACTTCTTCCCCTCTCCCTCCCGCTGCTGCAGGGAGAGCCATACAGGGGATCAGGGCCATGGATAAAGGGGTACCACCAGTCCCCCTGTACAGGGCCCAGACCAGCAGGGGGGGCCCAGACAGATGGGAGAATTGGATGTGGGTGGGGAGGGTGAACGGCATGAGAGGGGGGCAGTTACTGGAACCGATCCCCTGTATGCCTCTCTCTACAGCAGCTGAAAGCCGACTTCTTCTCCTCTCCCTCCCGCTGCTGCAGGGAGAGCCATACAGGGGATCAGGATCGTGGATAAGGGGGTACCACCAGTCCCCCTGTACAAGGCCCAGATCAGCAGGGGGGCGCAGGCAGATGGATGAATCAGATGTGGGTGGGGAGGGTGACCGGCATGGGAGGGGGGCAGTTACTGGAACCGATCCCCTGTATGCCTCTCTCTACAGCAGCTGAAAGCCAACTTCTTCTCCTCTCCCTCCCGCTGCTGCAGGGAGAGCCATACAGGGGATCAGTTCCAGTAATTGCCCCTCCCCCATCGTATCCATAACTCTTCCTATGCGCCATACATTTCCCCCTGCTGCCCAGGCCCCCCCCCCCCCCCCCCCGTGTGCCCCCGCAATGCTGCCGGCTTCCTTCCTCTCCTTCCCACCAGCAGCTGCAAGCACACAATAGGATGGAAAGTGGGGGAAGGGTCCAGTAAATAGGTCACATTTACCAGCCCCTTCCTTTCCTGAATGATCACAACGAGAGATCGGTACCAATCACTCGCTGTGTTCATTCGTAACTAAAGCCTAGTGAACTGTGATTTTTTTTTTTGGGGAGGGGGCTTGTTAGGGCTGTATTGAAACCCAGAAATTGGATGTACGGGTCCGTCGCTTAGCCTGGAGCTGCCGCCCGCATTACATTTACTAAGTGTGGGTGGCAAATGGTTGAGTCGGGGGGGTGTATGGATTATTTTTAAAGAATACAGATTTGGTTCGGTTTCACTTTAAGAAGGTGCCGTTTTTAAAATGGCGAATCGGTGGTCGTCAAGGAGCTCCACTATGCCCAATCCCCATCCATTATCTACATTTGCCACACTGCATATGGGCAGCGGTGTATTTACAGAGGTGCAATTTTCAGGGGGGGGGGGGGGGTTGGGGCAACCCTGGAAGAAAGGATTCATGTGGCAGGGATGGGGGACCTGCCATGGAATACGAGGAGGCTGGAGGGTGTAAGCAGAGTTCCCGCAAAAGGAAGACACTAGGTATGGCTTCCGGAGAGGTTAAGGTTAGTGCTTGAATAACTCTCTCTGTGTGGGGGGCGTGGTAGGCGGAGGGTGGCGGCGGCAGGGGCCAGAAGGTGGAGGGTGGTGGTGGTGGTGCTGGTGGTGGTGGTGGTGCTGGTGGTGGTGATGCTGGTGGTGCTGGTGGTGGTGGTGCTTGTGGTGGTGGGTGGTGCTGGTGGTGGTGATGCTTGTGGTGGTGCTGGTGGTGGTGATGCTGGTGGTGGTGCTGGTGGTGCTGGTGCTGGTGGTGGTGGTGCTGGTGGTGGTGGTGCTTGTGGTGGTGGTGGTGGCTGGTGGTGGCGCTGGTGGTGGTGCTTGTGGTGGTGGTGCTGGTGGTGGTGGTGCTGGTGCTGGTGGTGGTGATGCTGGTGGCCCAATTTTAATGTTGCCAAGAACTAAGTCCACCACTGCATATGGGCAGCTCAGACTTAAATCCTCATTTGCACCCACACGAGTATTTGTCCCCCATGCAGGGTGCCGGGGATTCATTCTTCTTCATTTGCGTGGCTGGAACTGAACATTGGCTGGCTACATCTTAATCAGCCTATTAGAAAAAAAAAAAAAGCCAACGCACTAATAACTTCTCCGCGTTTTATTCCTTTCTCTGCGCTTCCTAATGTTGCTGAAAAATGCATTTTTAATCACCAATTCAAAATAAATTGACTTCATTCGGATGAAGTTTCAATAAGAATCCTCAACATTGTAATTAAAGTTGATTGAGAATTAATTGGTGTCGTCTCTTCAATGGCAATGAGTAATTCGCCTTCGTTGGCTTATTATAGGAGAAAGAGATGGACCTAAAAGTACAGCTGTTCTTATCAAGTTCTAATTACCTGAATAGAAGGGCTCACGGCTGATCTCATTTAGCTTCGGGTCGGATGGAGCTCACAATTGCTCGTAGGTCTGCTAATGCCACACACTGAGAGATTTTGTTTTGGTCCGAGTGGTAAAGTGCGTTACTGTGTTTGCTGGTGGCGGCTGGAATGAAGCTCCTCCAGGGTCTCAAGACTGTTGGTGAAGGACACCTGACCTTAGCTGAACCCCCTTCATTCACCTGACGTAGGGTGACCCCATTTTGTAAAAAGACTGATTGTCTATCATGATAATCCCATGGTGTCAAGATATTGTAAGTCACTGAGCTAGAACAAGAATGGAGAACAGGACTTCTGAACTCGCCTGTTACGTATGCCTCTTCAAGGTCAGCGACTCAGGAAGTACTGAAGCTGCAGACAGCTGAGGAGGTAGCATTTCACAAGGATATCTGCAATAGAAGCCTACGTATTCCTCTTAGCACAGGTTTTAAAAAAAAAAAAACAGTTATATGGGCGAAGATATGTCGACACCTGGCCATCACACCTATATGGGCTTATTTCCCCCCCCCCCCCCCCAATCTCCCCCAATCTCCCCTCACGACTTTACCATTAAGATCAACAACACAACCATTGGTCCTTCCAGTGATGCCAGGGTGCTGGGCGTAATCCTAGACTCTGACCTCTCCTTTGGGCCCCAAATCCAATCACTGGCTAAATCTTGCTGTCTCAGCCTCCGGAACATTTCCAAAATCCCTGACCAATGACACCACAAAACAACTTATCCACGCCTTGGTTATATCCCGCCTCCATTATTGCAACTCCCTCCTCACTGGTCTACCGTTACACAGGCTATCCCCCCTTCAGTCTATTATGAATGCTGCTGCTAGACTCATACACCTTACCAACCGATCAGCGGCTGCTGCCCCTCTCTGCCAATCCCTTCACTGGCTTCCATTCAGTGTCCTCCACCCCTCTCTGCCAATCCCTTCACTGGCCTCCATTCTGTGTCCTCCACCCCTCTCTGCCAATCCCTCCACTGACCTCCATTCAGTGTCCTCCACCCCTCTCTGCCAATCCCTCCACTGACCTCCATTCAGTGTCCTCCACCCCTCTCTGCCAATCCCTCCACTGGCCTCCACTCAGTGTCCTCCACCCCCTCTCTGCCAATCCCTCCACTGACCTCCATTCAGTGTCCTCCACCCCTCTCTGCCAATCCCTCCACTGGCCTCCACTCAGTGTCCTCCATCCCTCTCTGCCAATCCCTCCACTGGCCTCCACTCAGTGTCCTCCACCCCTCTCTGCCAATCCCTCCACTGACCTCCATTCAGTGTCCTCCACCCCTCTCTGCCAATCCCTCCACTGACCTCCATTCAGTGTCCTCCACCCCTCTCTGCCAATCCCTCCACTGGCCTCCACTCAGTGTCCTCCACCCCTCTAGGCCAATCCCTCCACTGACCTCCATTCAGTGTCCTCCACCCCTCTCTGCCAATCCCTCCACTGGCCTCCACTCAGTGTCCTCCACCCCCCTCTGCCAATCCCTCCACTGACCTCCATTCAGTGTCCTCCACCTCTCTCTGCCAATCCCTCCACTGCCCTGCCTTCAGTGTCCTCCACCCCTCCCTGCCAATCCCTCCACTGGCTTCCAATAACCCAAAATATAAAATTCAAAATACTAACCACAGCTTACAAAGCCATCCACAACACTGCCCCTGGCTACATCATCGACCTCATCCACAGATATCGCCCAAATCGCCCACTCCGCTCCTCCCATGATATCCTCCTCTCTAGCTCCCTCATCACCTCCTCCCACGCTCGCCTCCAGGACTTCTCCAGAGCCTCTCCCATCCTCTGGAACTCCCTACCACAGTATGTCTGATCAGCCCCCACCCTGTCTGCCTTTAGGCGATCTTTGAAAACTCACTTCTTCAGGGAAGCCCACCTCCACCTAAGAACTGTTTTGAATCACCTCCATCAGATCATCCCCCGCAGCTATCACCTTTTGTATCCCCTCCCCCTTCCTTTAGATTGTAAGCTCCACGAGCCAGGCCCTCCTATTCCTTCTGTACTGAAAGTATTGTAATTGTACCGTCTCCCGTTATATTGTAAAGTGCTGCGCAAACTGTTGGCGCCATAAATCCTGTATAATAATAATAATAATAATATGGGCTTGTTGGACATCCCATTCTAAAACCATGGCCATTATTACTGAGTTTCCCCCCTCATGCCATGGCCATTAATATACAGTTGCCCTCTTCCTTCCATGGCCATTAGTATAGAGTTGCCCACTTCCCCCCATGGCCAATAACATGCTGTCCTCCCCACCTATAACACTTTCCACTCTTTTGGGAAGGTTTTCTCCAAGATTTTTGGTGTTGAAATGTGAGCCCATTTGTGAGGTCAGGTATTGATGCTGGATGAGAAGACCTGGTTCACAATTGGCGTCCCAATTCATCCCAAAGGTGTTCAGTTGGGTTGTGGTCAGGGCTCTGTACAGGACACCAAAGTGCCTTCAAACCAAACTGGTCAAACCATGTGTTTATGGAACTGGCTTTCTACTCATTCATGCTGGAACTGAGAAGGACCTTTTCCAAGACTGTTGCATTGAGGCTGGAAACACAGGATGAGACTAGAACCCCTGCTATCCAAAAGAGCATTTGTGAGGTCAGATACTGATGTTGTATGAGAAGACCTGTCTTGCGATCAGCACTACAATTCATCCCAAACATGTTTAGTAGGGTTGACGTTAGGTACTGATGTTGAATGAGAAGACCTGGGCTTACATTCAGTGTTCTAATTTCTCCCACAGGTGTTCAGCAGGGTTGAGGTCAGGTACTGATGTTGGATGAGAAGACCTGGCTGACAACTGGCATCCCAATTCATCCCAAAGGTGTTCAGTAGGGTTGAGGTCAGGGATCTGTACAGGACACCCATGTGCCTCCAAACCAAACTGGTCAAACCATGTGTTTATCGAGTTGACTTTGTACACATTCATGTTGGAACTGAGGGCCTTTTCCAAGACTGTTGTCTGGGGGCTGGAAACGCAGGAGGAGGCTAGAACCCCTGCTATCCAAAAGAGCATTTGTGAGGTCAGGAACTGATGTTGTATGAGAAGACCTGACCGCCATTGAGGGTTTTTGCCTACGTAACTACAAATTGACCACCATTGAGGGTCTTTGCCTATGTAACTACATATTAACTGCCATTGAGGGTCTTTGCCCACGTAGCTACACATTGACCGCCATTGAGGGTCTTTGCCTACATAACTACACATTGACCGCCACTGAGGGCCTTTGCCTTCGTAACTACACTTTGACCACCATTGAGGTTCTTTGCCTTCGTAACTACACATTGACCACCAATGAGGGTCTTTGCCTATGTAACTACACATTGACCTCCATTGAGGGTCTTTGCCTACAAAACAACATATTGACCGCTATTGAGGTTCTTTGGCCACATAATTTCACATTAACCGCCATTGAGGGTCTTTGCCTCAGTAACTACACATTGACCGCCATTGAGGATCTTTGCCCACGTAACTACACATTGACCCATTGAGGGTCTTTGCCTGCGTAACTACACATTGACCCATTGAGAGTCTTTGCCTACGTAACTACACATTGACCCATTGAGGGTCTTTGCCCACGTAACTACACATTGACCCATTGAGGGTCTTTGCCTACGTAACTACACATTGACCCATTGAGGATCTTTGCCCATGTAACTACACATTGACCGCCATTGAGGGTCTTTGCCCATGTAACTACACATTGACCGCCATAGAGGGTCTTTGCCCACGTAACTACACATTGACCCATTGAGGATCTTTGCCCATGTAACTACACATTGACCGCCATTGAGGGTCTTTGCCCATGTAACTACACATTGACCGTCATAGAGGGTCTTTGCCCACGTAACTACACATTGACCCATTGAGGATCTTTGCCCACGTAACTACACATTGACCGCCATTGAGGGTCTTTGCCCATGTAACTACACATTGACCCATTGAGGGTCTTTGCCCATGTAACTACACATTGACCGCCATAGAGGGTCTTTGCCCACGTAACTACACATTGACCCATTGAGGATCTTTGCCCACGTAACTACACATTGACCGCCATAGAGGGTCTTTGCCCACGTAACTACACATTGACCCATTGAGGGTCTTTGCCCACGTAACTACACATTGACCGCCATTGAGGGTCTTTGCCCATGTAACTACACATTGACCCATTGATGATCTTTGCCCATGTAACTACACATTGACCGCCATAGAGGGTCTTTGCCCACGTAACTACACATTGACCCATTGAGGATCTTTGCCCATGTAACTACACATTGACCGCCATTGAGGGTCTTTGCCCATGTAACTACACATTGACCGCCATAGAGGGTCTTTGCCCACGTAACTACACATTGACCCATTGAGGATCTTTGCCCATGTAACTACACATTAACCGCCATTGAGGGTCTTTGCCCATGTAACTACACATTGACCGCCATAGAGGGTCTTTGCCCACGTAACTACACATTGACCCATTGAGGATCTTTGCCCACGTAACTACACATTGACCGCCATTGAGGGTCTTTGCCCATGTAACTACACATTGACCGCCATAGAGGGTCTTTGCCCACGTAACTACACATTGACCCATTGAGGATCTTTGCCCATGTAACTACACATTGACCGCCATTGAGGGTCTTTGCCCATGTAACTACACATTGACCCATTGAGGGTCTTTGCCCACGTAACTACACATTGACCGCCATTGAGGGTCTTTGCCCATGTAACTACACATTGACCCATTGAGGGTCTTTGCCCACGTAACTACACATTGACCCATTGAGGGTCTTTGCCCATGTAATTACATAATGACCTCCACTATTGATATTTTAAATATATATTTTCCCTTTCCAATCACTACGCCAGTTTCCATATCAACAAGCATGCTAAGTGCAGTGACGTTGCAAAATCCACATTAAACCGATCGCTTTTAATGTAAATTGAATTTGCGCCGAGGTCAGAGGTCGTGCAGCGAGACAGGAAGCAGCGAGGGAATTAATCTGCTTCTTAATCTCAAAATGCGTCCATTAATTTTTTTTATTCAGTGAGTAATATATTTAGTTTAATGCGTTCCTTTTTTTTCTTTTTTTTTAATCGGAATACGAAATAGCTTATCGTGCGAGATACAGACAGGTGAGGATGAATAGTCTGCCTCTGGGCTATATTGTGCTAAGTTTTTTGTGAGATGATTAATTAAACCTAAAAGGTCAGGAGACATTGTGCAGCTGTTCATCATATTGCCGCTATGACACAAATGCCGCTTCTTTTCTTTCTCTAAAGTTAGTACAACGCGGTTAACAAAAGCCCAATAAAAGATGATATTAAAGCCCGACTCAAAGCTATTTCTTTAAAATGCTCCATAGAAGGTTCAGTGGCTGCAATACTCACCTTCAATCTGGAGCCATCCCCTGCAGCCCCAGGAGTGGGACGAAACGCGTTCGTAGCCTAGGAGGAGCCGTAGTTGGCAGTGTGCAGCATCCTTGTACTATAGGACCCGAACATTATCTGGATGAGCCTTTGGGATGCCTGTACCTTTCACCAGGTGTGGATCACTGGAGAATTAGAGTTAGAGGGCACTTGGAGCTGTTGTGGGCATCCCTTGCAGTACCACAAGATGTCCTCAACTTGGAAGACTGAAGACAGTCTGAGAGTGCGGGTGTCAAGGCTCCGCCTCCTGAGGGGGCACCACCACGGTGTCCTGAACTCTGTGTATTGGTGTAGAGCAGGGCTTAAAATTTCAAGTCCTGAGCTACTAGCCAGGCCTTAAGAGTTACTCGCCAAAACAAACACACACAGAGACACCTGTACACACACACAGACATGTACACACACACACACACACACACACACACACACAGAAACATGTACACACACACACACACACACACACACACACACAGAGAAACATGTACACACACACACACAGAAACATGTACACACACACACACACACACACACACACAGAGAAACATGTACACACACACACACACAGAAACATGTACACACACACACACACACACACACACACACACACACACACACAGAAACATGTACACACACACACACACACACACACACACACAGAAACATGTACACACACACAGAAACATGTACACACACACACACAGAAACATGTACACACACAGAGACACCTGTACACACACACAGACATGTACACACACACACACACACACACACACAGAAACATGTACACACACACAGAGACACATGTACACACACACACAGACATGTACATGCACACACACAGAAACATGTACATACACACACAGAGACACATGTACACACACAAACATACAAACATGTATAAACACACACAGGCACGTACAGACACGCATACACACAGATACATGTACATACACAGAAATACACACGCACAGACACATGTACATACACACAGACACATGTGCATACATACACAGACACATGTACACAGAGACACATGTAGGTACACACACACACATGTACACACACACACACATACATGTACAGTCAGGTCCATAAATATTGGGACATGGACACAATTCTAACATTTTTGGCTCTATACACCACAATGGACTTGAAATGAAACAAACAAGATGTGCTTTAACTGCAGACTGTCAGCTTTAATTTGAGGGTATTTACATCCAAATCAGGTGAACGGTGTAGGAATTACAACAGTTTGCATATGTGCCTCCCACTTGTTAAGGGACCAAAAGTAATGGGACAGAATAATAATCATAAATCAAACTTTCACTTTTTAATACTTGGTTGCAAATCCTTTGCAGTCAATGACATCCTGAAGTGTGGAACGCATAGACATCAGCAGACGCTGGGTGTCATCCCTGGTGATGCTCTGCCAGGCCTCTACTGCAACTGTCTTCAGTTCCTGCTTGTTCTTGGGGCATTTTCCCTTCAGTTTTGTCTTCAGCAAGTGAAATGCTCAATCGGATTCAGGTCAGGTGATGGACTTGGCCATTGCAGAACATTCCACTTCTTTGGTGTCTTTTGCAGTCTGCTTTGGGTCATTGTCCATCTGCACTGTGAAGCGTCCAATGAGTTGTGAAGCATTTGGCTGAATATGAGCCGATAATATTCCCGAAACACTTCACAATTCATCCGGCTGCTTCTGTCAGCAGTCACATCATCAATAAATACAAGAGAAGCAGTTCCATTGGCAGCCATACATGCCCACGCCATGACACTACCACCACCATGATCACTGATGAGGTGGTATGGACGGATCATGAGCAGTTCCTTCTCCATCCTCTTCTCTTCCCATCACTCTGGTACAAGTTGATGTCGGTCTCATCTGTCCATAGGATGTTGTTCCAGAACTGTGAAGGCTTTTTTACATGTCGTTTGGCAAACTCTAATCTGGCCTTCCTGTTTTTGAGGCTCACCAATGGTTTCCATCTTGTGGTGAACCCTCTGTATTCACTCTGGTGAAGTCTTCTCTTGATTGGTGACTTTGACACACATACACCTACCTCCTGGAGAGTGTTCTTGATCTGGCCAACTGTTGTGAAGGGTGTTTTCTTCACCAGGGAAAGAATTCTTCGCTCATCCACCACAGTTGTTTTCCGTGGTCTTCCGGGTCTTTTGGTGTTGCCGAGCTCACCGGTGCGTTCCTTCTTTTTAAGAATGTTCCAAACAGTTGTTTTGGCCACGCCTAATGTTTTTGCTATCTCTCTGATGGGTTTGTTTTTTTTTTCAGCCTAATGATGGCTTCACTGATAGTGACAGCTCTTTGGATCTCATCTTGGGAGTTGACAGCAACAGATTCCAAATGCAAATAGCCCACTTGAAATTAACTCTGGACCTTTTATCTGCTCATTGTAATTGGGATAATGAGGGAATACACACACACCGGGCCATGGAACAGCTGAGAAGCCAATTGTCCCATTACTTTTGGTCCCTTAACAAGTGGGAGGCACATATGCAAACTGTTGTAATTCCTACACCGTTCACCTGATTTGGATGTAAATACCCTCAAATTAAAGCTGACAGTCTGCAGTTAAAGCACATCTTGTTCGTTTCATTTCAAATCCATTGTGGTGGTGTATAGAGCCAAAAATGTTAGAATTGTGTCGCTGTCCCAATATTTATGGACCTGACTGTACATACACACAGACACATGTACAGATACACATATGTACAGACACACAGACACATGTACATGCATACACACACACACACAAACACACACACATCTATAAAAAGTTTCAGCACTTCGTTGTTCACTCACAGAGCCGGGTACTGCACTCTAGGGGGAGGCAGAGAGCACAGCACACACTCCTTCCTTTGCTTTCACTGCGCTCAGCTATTGAGCGGTCTGACGGCTCCCAGTGCCAATGACAGATCCGGCCTGAGCTCCGAGCCTGCTCAGCAAGACGGGTCTGGGACACACACTCACCCCCACCATAATTTCCACTCGCCATTGGCGAGCAGGCGAGTGGAAATTTCAAGGCCTGGTGTAGAGAGTGGCGGCAATACCATCACCTCAGCATCTTCTAGGACCGGTCATCCCTGGGAGGAGACTGGAGAGGACCCAAAGTGCAATGTGACAGTTAGAAGATATCCTAAAAAGGTATAAAATAAACAATGCATAGCTTACTGCCGGGTGAGGGTGTTGGGTTCATGGGTTGAGGGGGGTCTTCTGGGGAATTAAGAGCTTTAATTGAGTTTCAAAGAGTACCTCTAGGTACTAGAGGTGAGTCATGCCATTGTTGGTTACAGGAAACATACTTACAGGACAGAGCAGAAGGATGGCCTCATAAGCATGCTCCTTCAATGTCCATTCACAGTTTGGCTCCTATGTAGACAAAATCATCCAAGACAGTGTTGTGAGTTCAAACAAGACAAAACGAAAAGGGTACAAAGGTCCAGTGCATTATCAACAACACTTTATTGGGAAATAAAAGAGTACACACTCACAAGAGCAAATAGTAAACCAGTGTTGTACATGAACCCAGGAACCGAGAAGGTCTTCCACATGATGGAACTCAGAAGAGCAAATAGTAAACCAGCATTGTACATGAACCCAGGAACCGAGAAGGTCTTCCACATGATGGAACTCAGAAGAGCAAATAGTAAACCAGTGTTGTACATGAACCCAGGAACCGAGAAGGTCTTCCACATGATGGAACTCACAAGAGCAAATAGTAAACCAGTGTTGTACATGAACCCAGGAACCGAGAAGGTCTTCCACATGATGGAACTCAGAAGAGCAAATAGTAAACCAGCGCTGTACATGAACCCAGGAACCGAGAAGGTCTTCCACATGATGGAACTCACAAGAGCAAATAGTAAACCAGTGTTGTACATGAACCCAGGAACCGAGAAGGTCTTCCACATGATGGACCTCACAAGGTCCTGATGAAGCTTATACTTCCAGCTGACAGGTTTTGGAGTCCATTCCCCCCTTCTTCAGGAGGAGTTTTGCTCTGAGGAAGGGGGTATGTCTCCCGAAATACATCAGCTGGTAGTATGATCTTTATCAGGAGTTCCATCGTGTGGAAGACCTTCTCGGTTCCTGGGATTATGCACAATGCTGGGTTACTATTTGCTCTTGTGAATATACACATTTATGTCCTAATAAAGGGTTGTGGATAACGCACTAGGCCTTTGCCCTTTTTTTTTTTTTTTTCGTTTTGCTTTGTTTGCGAAGTTCCAAGATTCCTGGATCTCAAGAGGGCAGCATCCTCTTAACATTCCTGTTCTGATTGGAAGCTGATGGTCACCACCTGGGGCAGTCTGTTTTCTCTGGAATCCCTTAGCACTTACAGCGTCAAGATGTCCTCTTGATTAGAGTTGGGCTTGATATTCGAGTTGTACATAAGTTCGATTCAAACATCGGCCGTTCGTGTGTTCGGCAAACACACAAACAGTAAGGGCATTCGGTGGGCAGTTCGCCCGCTGCGCTCCACAATGCGCTGCGCCCTGACAATGCATTGTGATTGGCCAAAGCAATGCGGTCAGGCGCAATGTGTTTGCCAATCACAGTGCATGATGATGTCACAAGGAGGCAGGGCCACCCAGTGATGTCAACCGGGTGACCCCGCCCCCTTGTGACATCATCACTGTATTTAAGAACTGTTAGCCCGGCGTAGTTGTCAGCCTGTGTCGAGAATGGAGCATTTTTTTTTTTTTTTTTATTGGGGTCGACTGATGTTAGATCTGCTTCGGGGGATATTTTTTAAAATTTTGTTAATAAAGGATTTGTCTCCTGTCTTCTGTCATTTTTTATAATGCACTGTTTTTTTTTTATGAACGAGTAGCAGTACCATGTACCCCATACTCATTCACATGGGGGGGGGGCAGGATCTGAGGGCCCCCTTGTTAAAGGAGGCTTCTAGATTCCGATAAGCCCCTGCCTTCAGACCCCCACAACCATCAGCCACTGTTGTGGGGAAGAGGCCCTTGTCCACATCAACATGGGGACAAGGTACTTTGGGGGGCCTGCCCCAAAGCACCCCTCCCCCCTGTTAAGGGCATGTGGCCTGATATGGTTCGGGGGGGAGTGCTCACTCTTCCCTTCTCTTTCTTGACCTGCTGGGATACATGCATGAATAAGGGTCTGATATGGATTTTGGGAGGACCCCCCCCACACCATTTTTTGTAAAAATGTTTGCTTGTGGGCTCCCCTCAAAATCCACACCAGACCTGAAGGGCTTGGTATGGGTGGGGATTAGGCTGCTCACAGCAGGCACTGCTACCCTCCAGTGGGTACCCAGCAGGTTACTGGAACAAAATGTGCACCAGTGGAAGGGGAGGGCAATTACTGGAACCAATCCCCTGTATGTCTCTGCAGCAGCTGAAAGCCAGTGGGAGGGAGAGGAGAAGAAGCTGGATTTCAGCTGCTGCAGAGAGAGCCATACAGGGGATCGGTGCCAGTAATTAACCCCCCCCCCCCCCGTCATGCCAATCACCCTGCCTGATGACCTGGGCCCTGTGCAGGAGGACTGGTGGTACCCCCTTATCCACAGCCCTGCAGGGGGGGGCTACTCTCTGATAGGAACTGAAGCCAATTCAAAGGGGGTCCACTAAGGATCTGGCCTGGAGGTTCAAGGGAGAAATGTCTGCCCTGTATTAGATGGAGACATCCAAGTACACAGGGACATTGAGAGTATAGGCCAGAGAGTGTGAGATCCCAGTGACTGTTGCTGCCTAAACCCTTGAGCATCTGCTTCAGTGTTGCTGATTTGGGACTGGTCAACCCCTTCGGTGTTGCTGATTTGAGACTGGTGAACCCTTCGGTGTCACTGATTTTGGACTGGTAAACCCTTCGGTGTTGCTGATTTGGGACTGGTCAACTCTTCGGTGTCGCTGATTTGGGACTGGTCAACTCTTCGGTGTCGCTGATTTGGGACTGGTCAACTCTTCGGTGTCGCTGATTTGGGACTTGTCAACTCTTCGGTGTTGCTGATTTGGGACTGGTTGACCCTTCGGTGTCGCTGATTTGGGATGGGTGAACCCTTCGGTGTTGCTGATTTGGGACTGGTGAACCCTTCAGTGTCACTGATTTGGGATGGGTGAATTCTTTGGTGTTGCTGATTTGGGACTGGTCTTTTGCCCAGGGCTAGCTGTTCTTCCATGGTCTGCCAAGAGGAGAATTGTTCTGAAGAATGTAGTCCTTGCTTCCTTAACCCCTGGTCAACCTTTTGGTGTTGCTGATTTGGGACTGGTTGACCCTTCGGTGTCGCTGATTTGGGATGGGTGAACCCTTCCGTGTTGCTGATTTGGGAATGGTCAGCCCTATGGGTGAACCCTTTGGTGTCGCTGATTTGGGATGGGTGAACCCTTCGGTGTCGCTGATTTGGGACTGGTGAACCCTTCGGTGACGCTGATTTGGGACTTGTTAACCCTTTGGTGTTGCTGATTTGGGACTGGTCAACCCTTCAGTGTTGCTGATTTGAGACTAGTCAACCTTTCAGTGTTGCTGATTTGGGACTAGTCAACCTTTCAGTGTTGCTGATTTGGGACTGGTCAACCCTTCGGTGTTGCTGATTTGGGACTGGTGAACCCTTCGGTGTCGCTGCTGATTTTGGACTGGTAAACCCTTCGGTGTTGCTGATTTGGGACTGGTCAACTCTTCGGTGTCGCTGATTTGGGACTGGTCAACTCTTCGGTGTCGCTGATTTGGGACTTGTCAACTCTTCGGTGTTGCTGATTTGGGACTGGTCGACCCTTCGGTGTCGCTGATTTGGGATGGGTGAACCCTTCGGTGTTGCTGATTTGGGACTGGTGAACCCTTCAGTGTCACTGATTTGGGATGGGTGAACCCTTCGGTGTTGCTGATTTGGGACTGGTCTTTTGCCCAGGGCTAGCTGTTCTTCCATGGTCTGCCAAGAGGAGAATTGTTCCGAAGAATGTAGTCCTTGCTTCCTTAACCCCTGGTCAACCTTTCGGTGTTGCTGATTTGGGACTGGTCGACCCTTCGGTGTCGCTGATTTGGGATGGGTGAACCCTTCAGTGTTGCTGATTTGGGAATGGTCAGCCCTATGGGTGAACCCTTCGGTGTCACTGATTTGGGACTGGTCAACCCTTCGGTGTCGCTGATTTGGGACTGGTCAACCCTTCGGTGTCGCTGATTTGGGACTGGTCAACCCTTCGGTGTCGCTGATTTGGGACTGGTCAACCCTTCGGTGTTGCTGATTTGGGACTTGTCAACTCTTCGGTGTTGCTGATTTGGGACTGGTCAACCCTTCGGTGTTGCTGATTTGGGATGGGTGAACCCTTCGGTGTTGCTGATTTGGGATGGGTGAACCCTTCGGTGTTGCTGATTTGGGACTGGTCTTTTGCCCAGGGCTAGCTGTTCTTCCATGGTCTGCCAAGAGGAGAATTGTCCTGAAGAGTGTAGTCCATGCTTCCTTAACCCCTGGTCAACCTTTCGGTGTTGCTGATTTGGGACTGGTCAACCCTTCGGTGTTGCTGCTTACTTATTGCACCAATTCTGGAGAATCCCAAAGCTCACCTTGCACCCTATCCAAGTTCCATTCGCATTAAATCTTAAATAGACACTCCCTGGTCCTGAGTGGTGAGACTGTTTGTGCTGCTGTGTGCCTGGCTGCCTTTACGGCCACATGGGAAGGGGACCCTTCAGGAGTCTGCGCTACATTTCCCTGAAAGGAGGCAGTTGGGTCTGGAAACCACTTCTGCTGTACTGCCTCTTTAGATAACCCAGACTGCATATAACAGAAATCAGTTCCTAAATGAATAAATATAAAAAGAAAACAATAAAAATAATCCCGACCTCCAACCATTATAGTTTCCCTGTAAAATAAACCAGTCTCTATAGTTAAAGGATCCGAAGAGACCCCAGACGCAGGTAAATCAGCATTTTTATCGTATTTAGAATTGAATTTGAATCGCCTGAAAATCCATTTTTACTTTTATTCATCCGGTAGAATCGCTCTTCAGAAAATTTTGTGAGTGATAATCGCGCCGTCTCTGGAAATGTTTTTACAGATACAATAAGCAGAG